TAGCCACTGACGGCGGCGAGGCGGCAAAGGCAGCCAGAGAGAGCTTAGAGAGGCGAGACACACGTCAACGACTGGGACTGGCGCGGTGGGCGCAAGACACACACAAGGCACTACAGCCACACACACACACACACACACACACACACACACACACACACACACACACACACACACACACACACACACACGCACACACACACACACACGCACACACGCACACACACACACACACACACACACACACACACACACACACACACACACACACACACACGCACACGCACGCACGCACGCATGCACACACACACACACAAGGCACTAAGAACAGGCGGCCACCGCCATATCTCCCCATATCTCCCCATATCTCCCCATATCTCCCCATATCTGAACAGGCGGCCACCGCCGCCGCAAAGCCGGCGACGCGCAAGCGCAAGAGCGCGGCGTAGAGCGGGCGCGCGTAGAGGCTGTGGCGGCGAGTGCAGGCACGCCCCTATAGATGCGGAATCTCTCCCCGTATCTCTCCCCATATCTCCCCGTATCTCCCCGTATCTCCCCGTATCTCCCCGTATCTCGCCGCCCTAGAAGCGAAAGACAGGCCCGTGTATCCCCGACACCCATCTCTCCCCATCTCTCCCCACATCTCCCCACCTCTCCCCACCTCTCCCCACCTCTCCCCACCTCTCCCCACCTCTCCCCACCTCTCCCCATCTCTCCCCACATCTCCCCATCCTGCAGTCGCGGAACCCATGGCATCTCTCCCCACATCTCCCCATCCTGCAGTCGCGGAACCCATGGCATCTCTCCCCACATCTCCCCATCCTGCAGTCGCGGAACCCATGGCATCTCTCCCCACATCTCCCCATCCTGCAGTCGCGGAACCCATGGCATCTCTCCCCACATCTCCCCATCCTGCAGTCGCGGAACCCATGGCATCTCTCCCCACATCCCCCCATCCTGCAGTCGCGGAACCCATGGCACGCCCCTTGTGGGCACGCGCGTCGTGTCTATCTCCCCACATCTCCCCACATCTCCCCACATCTCCCCTTGTAGGCACGCGCGTCGCGACGCTCGGCGCGCCGCGTGGTTCGCGCGCGGCGCCGCCTGCCGCTGGACGTGTCCCGGACACGTCCCGGCCTGCCGGACTAGTCCCGGCGCGCGGGTGGCTGGGGGAGGGCCACAACGTGCATGCCTAGGGGGAGGGAGGGGGGGGGGGGGGGGGGGAAGGGCCCTCCCCCGAAAAGGGGGGGGGGGGGGGGGGGGGCGCCTTTCCCCCCCCAGGGGGTTTTTTGGGGGGGAAGGAAACTGGGGAAAGGGCCCCGGGGCCCCTCCCCGGGGGGGCGACTCGAGTGCAGCCAGGCGGGGAGGGCAGCACCGGGACCGGGACCTCCCCCCGCCCGCCCCCCCCTTCGTGCGATTGCCGCCTCCCGCCCCTTCCCTGTGCTACTGCGGCGTGAGTCCGCGCGAGGGCTGCGTCGGGCTTGGCTCGATCTTGCCTCACTCTCTGCGCCGGTGGGCTAGACTCGACTCAGTGGAGCGATGGGTTTCTGTCGGCAATACGGCATAACACGGGCCTGGCCGTGGTAGTGCAAGGCACAGGGTGGGTCTGGGTGGGTGTTTACTGGGCGGGACATGTACATGTGAAGCAGTTCGGAAGGTCGGCGTGGTTTATAGTACGTGTCTCGTGTGCGCTCTGACATCTCCTTCACACACTGACAAGTTCTGACCTCTACTGCTGGACTACTCTTCTAAAGAACTAAAGAGTATAAGGGCTTGACCAAAAACATGCATTTCCCCACATATTTCATACGTTTTGCCATTCTTGCGGTTTCGGAATCCCTCAGACAGTGAACCCACCCCACCCACCCCACCCAGCCTCGAACCCACCCCCCTCACATCACGACCACATCACCAAGCGTTCCCCGCACCATGACTCCTCAGTCAGTGAGCGAGCGACCAGCCGTCCGACCCCCTACCGTCCCGGATGCGCCTCTTGCCACGCCCGAATTTGCCGGCGCAGCAAGTGGTTTGGGAACGTGTGCGTGTACTCGAGCGCCTCGCCTGTCATCGGGCTCGTCGACTTGGTCGCGAGCCAGCGCTCGATCGCCGACCGCTCGTAGGACTGCCCGTCGGCCGCCATCACCGGGTCGCTCATGAGCTCGGTCGTGATGGGGCAGCCGAACTCGTCCGGCGGCTCCTCCTCCCCCGCAGCCAGCGCCACGGCCGAAGAGGGCGACCCTCGCTCCTCCGCCGCCCGCCTCTCCTCCTCCATCCTCGCGCTCTCCTCGAGCGCCGCCGCCAGCTCCGCCTCCTCCGCCGCCGCCAACGCGGCCGCCGCTGCCTCCGCCTCCACCGCTGCCTCCACCGCTGCCTCCGTCGCTGCCTCCGTCGCTGCCTCTGCCTCCGCCGCTGCCTCTGCCTCCGCCGCAGCCGCTACCACCTCGGGCTCCTGCGACGGCCCAAGCGCGACGCTCAGGGCCGTGCCCTTGCCCTTCTTTTTCTTCTTGCCCTTCTTGACCCTGGCGCGCTGCTTCGCCGCCTCCTCCGCCTCGATCTCCGCCAGCAGCGCCTCGCCACGCCGCGCCGCCTCCGCCTCAGTCGCGTCCTCGAGGGCGCGCACGCAATCAGCGCATTCCTTGGCGAACTGCAGCGCATTGAAGCCATTCCGGTGACGCACCGTCGAGTTTGCGCCAGCGCGCAGCAAACGGCGCACGACGGCGGGCTGGTGGTTGTCGGCGGCGAGCATCAGCGCGGTCCAGCTGTTGCTAGTCCGTTGGTCGATCTCGGCGCCGTGCCGCAGCAACGTGTCCACCACCTGCTCGTGGCCACGGTTGGCAGCGAGCATTAGCAAAGTGAACCCACCTGCGTCGCCTCCCTCCGTCGCGTTGACCCGCCCGCCACTGTCCAGCCACGCCAGCACCGCCGCCTCGTCACCTCTCCCAGCCGCCGCCACGACCTCATCGGAAGCTGCCACGCCATCGCTCGACGCCTGCTCGGCCGCCGCAGCCGGCGACAGATTGCCCGGCCGCACCCGCACGTTCTTGCCGCCGCCCTCGAGCGCCACAGCGTACCGCCCGCCCTCGAAGCTCCACGCCACGCCCGACTGCCCGTTCAGCTCGGGGCGGGCCGAGAGTCCGCCGAGCACGACTCGCTGGTCCAGCAGCGGCGCGTCCGCAGCTGCCGCTGCTGCGCCCGAGGAAGCGCCGCCCGCCCCTGCTCGGGTCTCCGCGTTGCCGGCGTCCACCGCGTGTGAAGGCGAACCAGCCATCGAGGCCGCTTCCGCGCCACCGATCGAAGCCGTGGCACGTGCTGACGCCTGACCTGCGAGCGCATCCGTGCCGATCGCCGACGCCTCTGCCGCGGTCACCTTGCGCCGGCCAGCCACCTCCCCAAGGTAAGCCCTCAAGGCCTCGACGCACTCTGAGTGGCCCTCCTCCTCGGCAATCTGCAGCGCGTTCGCAGCGCACAACGCCGTGTCTGCGCCCGCCCGGAGTAAGCGGCGCACGACGATGGGGCGGCCGTTGAGGGCGGCGTAATCCAGCGCAGTCCAGCCATCACCGTCCTGCAAGCCGACCTCCGCGCCGTACCGCAACAGCAGGTCGACCACCCGCTCGCGGCCGTTGTTGGCGGAGAGCATCAGCAGCGTGACGCCGCCCACGTCGCCTCCCTCGTGCGTCGCGTCGATCCATCCGCCACCGTCGAGCCACGCCAGCACCGCGCCCATCTTGCCCTTTTCCGCCCCAGACACGACCGTTTGCGGCGGTGGGCCCTTCGAGCCAGTGGATCGAACCAATCCCCGTTTGACCTTCGGAAGTCCCTGCTTTGCTGGCACGCGGCTTCGCTGGCCTCGCCTGCCGAAATTGCCTTCCGCCATCATAGGATTCGGGTATTTCGCACAGTCGGGTGTGGATGCGCTGCTCTGCTGCTGTCGAGGCGGTGAAGGCCTACACCGCGCTGCGCTGATTGCCGCCGCCGTCGGGGTGGTGGGGTGGGTGGGTGGGAGGTGGAATGGAGATTGTTGGCATTGGCATTGCATTTACCATGCATTAATTGGCATTTGCATTTTCATTTCGCCCTCTCCGCCGCCGCCCTCCTGCTGCTGCTGCTGCTGCGCTGCTGCTGCTGCTGCTGCTGCTGCTGCTTGCTGCTGCTGCACACGCATGTGACACACGACACATCCGGCAACGGGCAGGCGCGCAGCCGCCGAGCGGCGGGAGTCGGGCCGCGAGCGTCCGAGCCGGAGGGCGGAGCGTACCGATGTAGAGGAATTGAACATATCGACACATATATCAACACAGTAGGATTCGGGTATTTCGCACAGTCGGGTGTGGACGCGCGCACGCATCATCCCGCGGCCTGGCGGTCGGCGGGATTGCAATCAGTCTTCGCGTGCCGCCTGTCGTTCGCTCGGGCGCCTTGCTCCGAAACAACGATCAACGTGAACGACGGAGGAGCGCGAAAGGAGACGGGACAGCGTGGCTCGTCTGTGGATCTCCACATCCAGCCTAGGATGTAGGATCCAACTGTGCGAATGTTGGTGTAGGGGTAGGGATCCAACTTTTTCCGGGGTATGGTATGGTGATCCACAGGGGTAGGGGAACCCTAGCTCTCACCATCCATCAAGGTTTCGATGGCATTGTCTCGCCCGGACGACCACGACTACTTCGACGACTTCCAGGACGAGGGCACCACCGTGACGCCAGGCCGTCTCCGTGCGATGATCAACAAGCTCCTTGAGTCGACCGACATCAAAATCGGCGAGTTCCAGAAGATGATCGGCGTCAACGCGAACTCGTGGGGAAAGTTCATGCACGGCAAGTACAAGGACCCGTGGTCGGCGACGCAGAACGGCACATACTTCGCGGCCGCATATTTCTTCTACCGCGAACGCAAGCTGGGCAAGCACGCGCTCGGCAAGACGCGGGCGCACAAGGCGTCCGCGAGCGGTTGTGGGCGCGCCGTTCCGCATGACCAAAGACAGCCTCGGCCGGAACGTCTTCGCCTGAACGCGGCGTCCGACGCGAGAGACGGCGAGAGACGCTGGCCTGTGCGGACTCGGCATCGAGAGTCTCGTCTCACGCATGTTTGTACACCATGTGTCTACTGTCTGCGTGCGATGGGCAGCGCGCTCTTTGACGCGCCGCCACTCTCCAGCTGATCCCTTTCGGAGCGTCGTAGCTGCGTCTCGTATAGATGCCTCATTGAGATAATGATAGCACTACTTACGGGGATTGCGCGTGTGTGGCTGTGGTGTGCATAAAGTGTCTACTGTCTGCGGTTATCTGTTCGATCCATAAATTTGTGCAGCGGAGAGCGGTCGAAAGGGTCGCCCTTTTTGTGTTTCTATGAGCAGAAAAAGTGTGCCTCCGGAAACCGGCCAAACCGCCCACAAAAGCGAAAAGGCTGCAGCCTGAACGAACTTGGGCCACGCTGCGCACTTGGTCAGGCCCACACGCCACAGGCGATATTAATGTGCAAAGGTCGGCCACCCTAGCGCAGCATCCGCGACTTCGACTTCGACACGAAGCCTCGGCAGCCAGGGCAAGCCGTGTTGATCGGCTCCACACTCCTCTTCGGCGAGCGCTCCAAATCTAGACCCTTTCGCCTTTAAGGAGGCTGCCCTCGCTCGTCTCAGGAATGTGGCGGTGTCTTTTGAGTCCGGCGCCGCCCGTTCAACTCTTGCTGTCGCCCTCGCCGTGTGTTTGTCAAGCTTCCGCATAGCTGCCGCTGTAGAATTCTTTTCTCAAAGCCGAAACCGAATTGCTCTCGCCGCGGACCCTGTGACAGCTCTCTTGCACAGCTCCGCACCTCCTCGACGCGGACCCTGCCATGCTGCACCTCGTCGTCGCTGCCAGCTCCACCTTCCTTGCCGTTGGCGGCTCTCACCACACCGTCCCGCGTGCGGCGGCACGGATGCAGTTCAGCATGCCCAAGCTGCCCAACCCGTTTGGCGGCAACGAGGATGAGCAGTCACCCTCCGCTCCGCCAACGGTCGGAGGCTTCGTGGCGCCACCTCGCGCCGAGCGGCCAGAGTTCAAGCTCGAGCTGCCCGCGCTCCCAAACCCGTTTGCCCAGGAGCTCAAACTCTCGCCGCTCGACGTGCGCTTCACAGACGTGGACGGCGACGTCGTGACGCTCCGGCCCAACGGCGGCAGCGCGGTCGACTTTTACGTCGGGAACGACCTGCGGCTCGAGAAGGCGCGCATGGTCGAGAATGGCGGCACGCTGGAGATCACCGGCAAGGTGAAGAAGAGCACGCCGCTCAGCATGATTGGCTTCAACCTCGAGGAGATCACGACCGAGGGCGTCACCCCGCGAGACCCGGCCGACGTGGAGCGAGCGATGGGCCTGGTGCCGTACTGAGGGGTGGCGGCTAGGCGGCGGCGGCGGCGCAGGCTCTCGTTCACTCCTCCGCTCTCGTGCCTGTGGAATGCTACAGAGAGACGGGTAGAGATAGCAGGCCCCCGCAGGCACTCTCACACACACCCGCTCGCGACGCCGATTCGCGCGATCTTAGCATCCACCGACCAATGTTCGCACATGAACTGTACCACGTTCTGAATCTGATCCATGCCATGACAGTCGACGTCGTCTAGCTCGACGTATAGACAGGGTTGGCTCTCTAGCCCGTACACCGTGACCCAGCGCTCAGCGGTACCAGCGGTACACTCAGTAGGACGGATGCAGCGCGCTCTCCGCGCACCGCGGCGCGGGCTGCCTCGCGGGGCCTCACCCACTTTTTCATACCGTGAATGAAAACTGTGTCTAGATACTCGCAGCACTTCAGGTGCGCCGAGCCTGACTCCTGTCCCAGAGCCCCGGGGTAGCCCCCGGGTACACAGAACACACAATAGTCTCTGCGCGCTGCGCGGCGCGCCGCTGGCGGTCGCACTCACGGCCACACGCCCTTGTTATACTGCGCGAGCATGCCAGTCTCAGAGACACAACAACCGCGCCGAATTGATCATGCGTATTGCCCCGAGCGGACCTGCGTATTGTCGCGGCCCAGCCCGGCGCCCGGCCTCTCCCCTCCTCCTCGCCCACGCCTGCCCCTCCTCCCCCGGTCCTCCCCCTCCTCACCCGCGCAGCGTGACGTAGGTGCCAAGCACACCCAGAAAGCCGCCGAGCGGGATGAGGCCGTACACGGCCTGCGGCGTCGACGCGCCGCGCGCGCGCCCGTAGATGAGGGGCGGGAAGCAGTAGACGATGGCGGCGCCTGCAGGAAGGTTCAGGGGAGGTTCGGGGGGCAGTCTGACGCCGGCGAGGTGTGGGGCGGGTAGCAGTGGGCGATGGCGGCGCCGAGGAGCGCCCCCGACACGCCGACAACGACGCCGATGTCCTAACACGCATGCACCCCCCTTCACCGACCGCCGGAAGGACGCACCCGCCGCCGCACCCGCCGCTGTCCTCGACGGCGCACGCCACCGCAGTAATGACGGCCAGCAGCGCCACGATCAGCGGCACGCGCGACGCGTCGGCCGCCAGGCTGCGGAAGGCGCGCCTGTGCTCCATTCAAAACTAAGCAAGGGGCAGTCAGTGGGAGGAGTCGGCCGGGAGGCGGAGGCGCGCCTAGGATTGATTCATTCCTCACGTAAAATGAGTCATGTATAGGACGAGTGGGCCGGGGAGGCCAAGGCGCGCCTAGGAGTCATTAAGTAGTCCAGCTGTCAACTGAGACTCATCACTGCACGGGCCGGGGAGACCGAGGCGCGCCGCGCGGCGGCGGGCAGCGCGGGCTCGGCCGACAGGGAGGAGGACATGCCTGATTAATGAACCTCCCCATATCTCCCCATATCTCCCCATAGCTCGGCCGGCAGGGAGGAGGATATGCCGACGAGGGCAGAGCGCAGCCCGACCATAGCGAGGGGGTAGCCGAAGAGGATCGAGGCACCTGCGGGGGGAGATGGGGCGGGAGATGCGGGGAGATGGGGGGAGATGGGGCGGGAGATTAGCCCAACAGGACCGAGGCGCCTGCGGGTGAGATTGGTCGAGACGGCGGGGAGATGGGGCGGGAGATAGGGCGGGAGCGGAGGGCGGGGGTCGGGGCGGCGGTGGCGAGGCGGCCGACGATGTGGAGAGAGATGGGGAGGTATGGGGAGATGAGATATGGGGAGATATGGGGAGATATGGGGAGATATGGGGAGATATGGGGAGATATTGGGAGAGCGCCGGTGGCGAGGCGGCCGACGATGGCGAGAGGGTCCGAGGAGGCGTAGTTGAGGAGGAGGTTCCTGCAGGGAGATATGGGGAGATGCGGGGAGATGTGGGGAGATGTGGGGAGAAGAGGGGAGAAGAGGGGAGACGTGGGGAGATATGGCCATCTAGCGGC